TGTTGAACAGACGGGATGGGGTCCAGTATACGTTAGTGCATCAATGCCTTTTGCTCCTTCGCAGGTGATTTCTTCCTTTTCTTTCCCGCCTTCTTTTTCTTGATGTGCATATTTTCCCTTCTTTTGAACACCGCCAAAACTTCAATGCTGAAATCACATTCTCATCATTCAGACAGCTTACACATAAAACAAACACCACAGCTGGACAAGATTTCATTACACTGCATGTGTTAAGGATTCCAAAGGCAGGAAGCTTTATCCCTGACCATAATTTGTAAGCTTATGCTATCTTGGGAGACCTAAGAGACAGGAAAATTGTTGGATAACACCTCTAATTTAAATTTTCCCTCCATTTCTTTCTCATAAACATATTAAGATTTTCACAAATTTCTCTGCCGAATTTTCATTTCTCAACTCTTCACCCTTTCCCAAACAGAGCCTTAAAGTTTCTAAAGACTACATCACACAGCTGGTTCTAATACAAACACATGAAAGTGTAAATTTTAAAACCTTCCCAAGTCAATCCTGATAATGTGGGAGGACTATTTGACTAAGGCAGAACATTCGGTGTACGTTTGTGGTTTAGACCAGCTGAAAATATTATCGCATACAACTTATGTTTGATGTTAACATTTCACTTTTTTAACAAGAAAATTGCCTAATTTTCAGATGAGTGTCAATCCAAAACCAACTAAGACAAAACGTTTCTCCAGATCTTTGAGGAACAAGACCTACATAATTAGTATCTCAATTGAAATTTTAAGATCATTGAGACTCGCTCAGAAATTTCAGGTTCAAATCTGAGTAATTCCCAACTACTTGCGAAAGATGTAAGATCACAATTCAGAATCTCAGCAACTTTCATCTGATTAAAGTAGACAGACGTTAATTCAACATTAGCTCCTTAATCATGCAAAGCTACAGGATTGCAATATGAGGGGACTAATACCTTTGTGTGCCAGGGAAGAAGTTAAATCCATGGGCTTTTTCCAAATGCCATGCCTTGCTAGACAGCAATGACTTACAGTCCTGTAATTTATTCACTCAACATTAGCTCCTCAAGATATTTAGTATTCAGCTTATAAGAAAGCAAACTAAGCACCAAAGCTGCACTTTAGTCTCTTAACTGCAATTTACCTCCTTAAAGCTTTCCCAGCCACAGCTTATGTAGATAAGAGTTTGAGGCGCTGAGTGACGGTTCTCTTCACTTAAATCATTTCCAAATCGAACAGAAGCTTCCCTAGCACGAAGTACCCACGGTCTCTTTTCTTCTTTTGTCTTGGAACTAATACCAGAGACAGTATAGAAAAATTAATTAATGCTGGAAGGTTGTAGAATGTTATTTTCGTGAAGATATCGATGTCATGCCTTGATGCAAAGAAAAGCTAAAGATAAGCCCCTACCTTTCAGGTGATGATCTAGTTTTCAGTTCCCGTGATGGAAGGGTCTGCAGGGCACCCACCAGAGACGCTTCTAGTCCTTTTCTAGGAGGATCAACAACAATCACATCTGATCCCACAAGCCAGGAAGTAGGCTCCTGATTTGATTCCAACAAAAACGTAAGAACTTACTACTCTATTACAATCTTAACTCTGAAGAAGATTAACTTACTACTCTATTGACAAGATTGATTAACAACGACATCAATGAGATTCTTTTCGGGGACTTACAACTGAAGTGTCAGCTTGATACCAACTGATGCTGCTATCCACATATTTTGGCAGGCGTTCAACTGTCTTTTCAAAAGACAACTTGGATTCTTTGTTAATTTCTACACATTTTACAGACCTGGAAGAGATGAATTACAAATTTGTAAGCCTTTCCTTAATGAGAACGAACAATCTGGAGCATTTAATGGAAAGAGGAAACCGGCGAGCAAAAGGAAAGAGAACTCTGGATTCTTGCCTGCATTTTCTTGTAGCAGCCAAGGATAAGCCAATGACGCCAGATCCTGCATATAAGTCAGTAACTGATGCACCATAAGGAACATACTTCTGTAACTTTCGGAGCAAAGAATCAAAAGCCTGAAGATGACCAAACAAATAGCATCGTTACAAAGTATCAGTTACATGAATTTCAATTAAAAGGGGATAGACTCTCTATTCTCGATGAACGATCGATTATCATTCATATGCAACTGGGTTTGCATGCATTATCATGTGGGGCCAAAAACCTGAGCAAATCAACATGTGTCACTCAAAAATTTTCTTGGCTATCAAAGAAGATGGTTGAGCGAGATACAATGGAAACCCAAAATTGCATTCCTATCATCAAGAACATGCCACAGTCAATGCTAAACTAACATCACATTTGATGCTATCCGGCAAAACAAGCAACTTGATGCCAGCATGGTAAATGCAATTTTATGTTAAACTAACAGCAGGTTCGTATTGACATTTTCCTGTTAGTAGGGCTTTGCAGATTAGGAGATATGTCTAACCCGCGTATTTGCTTGGCCAAAACTGGATGGAGCCAGTGAAACATCAATGCCTCCGAGGTGTTCCCAGAAGTCCCTATCTCCTAGAAGATGTCTCCACCTATTCCCGAAGATTACCTACATAATCAAATGCACCATGAATAATAAAAAGACCCACTTGTCTTAGAAAAATTGTATTGAAAGGTACATTTAGTCACAAGATTAATTAGCATTTCACATTGTTAGCATGATGCCGTAACTATTTTCCTTGTCAGTGATTTCGAAGACATTAAAATTTAAGCAGTTAGCTACCACTCACATTGCTAGTTGATGTCTGAAAATTGGCCCACACAGAATGTATTAACGGGACTTTGCGCTTTGATCCACTCTTTCGCCATAAAAACTGCAGATGGATAAAGAAACACATTTTACTGGTTAATCAAGATATGGTCCAGTATGAGCAAAATCAAGAAAGAGAATTCGACAGCCTCACATGAGCCAAGGCATTCAGCTTATCTGAATTGGGCGAATTTTCATTTCGAGAATTCCAAACTAGAGCAACCTGAACCCGACCTATAAATAAGTTTAGTTCAGAATTGTGAATGCAATTTGCACACCAAAAAACTTCTAGAAAGTAAAAAACTGAAAATTCAAACCAAGTATGCAAGAAGCGAGTTCAGATCCATACCATTTTGGTATCTTTCTGAGGCGGGAATAGATGTATTGTATGTTGTCACAGCCATCTAGCAGAAGCACAAGAACACATAAGTCACCGATTACTAGCATAACTACAAACTTAACAAGATATCCCCAATAACAAAACACTACCTGCACGTAGCGCAGATCACCTGTCCCTTGATCCTCGTCATGCGGTTCTATACCTAACTCTTTGATTCCTGTTAACAATTTTTCCCACGGGATAAAGTAAGTACATAGTGCTCCAGAAAGCACACCAAATCTTTAGACATCATCCACAAAATATACCTTGCTTCAACAGTTCCATGGCAGCATTAATATTCGGATGATGAGCTGCAAGAACAAGCAAAATGAGGCATTAACTGCACCACCATTGCCACTAGTCCAATATTGCTCTAATCAGTTCAGAACTTCATTTTGCATGCTCCAACTCGCGAAAAATGTACCTTTGCAATCAGGGATGTCCACCACACTATGCGTGCCCTCCTGATAGAGTCCAACGAGAGGATCCGCCCACGAGCCGCGAACCGCCAACTTTGCACGGCATCTCCACCCCCACTGCATCACACACACACAGCGAGTAATCAATCAAAATTAAGGCTGCACAAGATGAAAACCACACCAACACGTCGACTCGAATTGAGAGAAAAAGGCGAGCTTACGAGCTTGCAACTATCGAAAGTGAAATCCGAGACGCCTAGGCTCTTGAAGAAATCGACGGCATCGTCAACGACGCTCGGACGGTGGAGGTTCAGCTCGTGAGTACAACCTGAGCACCTGCATATTCAAGCGAACCATAATACACAAGAAACGCACTTGCAACTGACAAGAACACGCCACAGTTCCCATACCCGCACTTGCGAAAATCCGGCAAATGCACGGATTCATCGACGCGAACGCGACGAAAGGTAAGTGAGTCAAGACATTCGATGAAGAAGTAGAAAGAGAAGAGGAACTAAGGGAAGAGTTGGCGCGCGTACGATTCGAAGTGAGGGCACTGGAGCGCGCAGGTTAGCGAGGGCGGCGCGGCCGCGGCCGAGGGCGGGCTCGGACGGAGAGACGCCGGAGCGAGCGGCGGCGGGGAGGGAGTAGCTGCGGCGGCGGCGGGGGAGAGGTGGCGGGAGGTGATCGGGTGGAGGGAGCGGGAGGAGAGGAGGCACGGCGACATCGGCGGAGCTGGGCCAGCGCAGCGGAGCTTCGCTGCAATTTGATTTTTGGCCGGTGTGGATAAAATGGGAGATGACGACGAAGAATATCTTCGACTAACGACCGGGTCGGGTAACCGCCCGGTGCTTCCGGGTCAAATTCGGAGTTGGGTCTCGGGCGGAGGGTCCGGAAGCTAATCGGGTTCAAACGGATTCAGACCCGCCTGATTCCGAAGCATGAAAGTCCATACAATACAGTCTTTCTCTTACCGCCCAAAGCTCATTTTACTGACAATACCGGAATCATGTGCGGTATGTTCCCTATACATGCTTGTGAATAGCTGCTACATTCGTAGGATGTCTAATGATGGTATGGAAGACAGATCTATGCAAAGCATCGAATCGAATCCTAACATGCTTGAAGACTAGCCTGTCCGATGTGCGGCGAGTGTGGTTAGCTTGTTCTTCATTCTGTCGATGTGACAGTAGTGAGCCTCTCTCTAAGACTTCTTTACGATCAGAGTGCCGTAGACGCCCCATAACCTGACGAAGAAACCGAGCCCAATGCTCAGGATGAGCTAGAGGTATTCGAGATCATCGTCTCAGTCCTCGCTCTCGCTGTTCCCGACCCCATCGTTAGGAGATTGTGGCTGTTTCTCGTCTCCTGTGAGTAACTTTGGCAATGGAATCCCACAGAGACCGACGCTGCACTCGTAAATAGATGGGTTGTTGAGGGTTAGGAACTAGTTGGCCTTCGGAATTTTCCCTGACAAGTTGTTGTACGACAGGTTCAAGTGATTCAACTTTGTTAAAGTGGTCATGCTTGGAGGAAGCGGCCCTAAGAGATTGTTGCTCGATAAGTCGAGAGTCTCTAGCCTTTCCAAGTTCCCAATGTCGATCGGTATTCTTCCAGTGAGATGGTTCATGGACAAATTCAAGGTCCACAACCTCACGAGGCTCATCAGCGCTTCAGGATTCTCCCCCAACAAGCGGTTGTCCGAGAGATCTAAATTGTTGACGAGGTAAAGAATGCTTTGATCATATTGAACAAACCGTCCTTTGGCCACTACGGTCAAGCGTCCCTGGTACCTCACCGTGTCAGCATCAGTGAGTTCCACTTTCAAGCCGATTAAGTTTCCGATTCACGGCGGGGTCGATCCTGACAACCTATTATGCGAGAGGTCTACTATGTGGAGATTCGAAAGACAGCATATCCGAGGAGGAATTTCCCCAGTAAACAAATTGGACCGCAGGTGCAAAATCAGTGGCGAAGGAATGCTCTCTGCAAACCATGTGGGAATGTTTCCCAAGAACTTGTTCTCGCCTTGATCAAGACTGTACAAAGATCTACTGTTCCGCAAGGAGGACGGAAGTTTGCCAGAGAGATTGTCGTTACTGAGTATGAAGAACCTGAGAGAGGAAAGAAAGCCGACCTCGCTCGGTATTGGACCCGAAAGGCCATTGTTCGACATGTCAAGAATATACAGCGAGGACAAGTTGCTCCAGAACCGCGGTATTTCTTTGAATAGGTAGTTGTTGGAGGGCAAAAGGACACAAGAAGTGCCATAATTTGTGTACGGAGATCACTTTGGTGCCATAACTTTTTTTCGGATCACTTTAGTGCCAAGTCGGAGGAAAATAGATCACTTTGGTGACTCCGGCCAAAAAGCTGACCTGTCATTTATATTAAAAAAAATGGTTTGACTTGTACACGTGAAATTAGGTGGCTTTTTTCGAATTTTTTAATTTTTTGATTAAAAAAAAAAAAAACGTTGCAGCAGCGGCGAGGGCTGCTGCTGCCAACCCACCATCGCCGGGAAGGGCGGTGGTGGGCGGCGAGGTGAATCCGTGCGAGACCTCGCCGTCGCGACCCCGGGGCGGTGAGGCCTCGCCGGATCCGGCGAGGCGAGACCTCTCGTCGCGTCGCGACGGCGAGGTCGGCCTTCGCACGCGGGTCGCGACGGCGAGGTCTCGCCTCCTCGCCTCTCGCCCAGCAAAGGCGAGGCGGTCGTGACGGCGAGGTCTCGCCTCGCCGGATCTGGCCCTCGCTGGGTCTCGACGAAGGTCGCCGGGCCCTGGCCAGGGGTCGGCGACCCTCGCCGACCAATCTGCCCACCACCGCCGGCCCTTCCTAACGGTGGTGGGTTGGCGGCAGCAGCGGCGAGGCTGCTGCAACGTTTTTTTTTTTCTATATAATTTTAAATTTTTTTTCTAAAAAAGTACAAGTCAGCGGGCTAAATGACATCGTTTTTGATTTTTAATGCTGACTGGACCTCTCCAACGAGCCGTGGACCTCTCCGGCTAGCCATGTCAACGCCACATCGGATTTCCGTCGAGCCACGTCAGCATTGGCACTAAAATGATCGTTTTTCAAAAAAGTTGGCACCAAAGTGTTCCGAAAAAAAGTTATGGCACCAAAGTAATCTCCGTACATAAGTTGTGGTACTTCTGGTGTCCTTTTGCCGTTGTTGGAGATTACTAAGGTTGTCAAAGTGGCCATATTCCCAATGTACAAGGGAATGGTACCATTTAGGTCATTCCGAGATATGTCCAAATCTGTCAGGTAAGGCATGAGTTCGCCGATGTTGGGAGGAATGGGACCGGAGAAGCGATTATCGTTGAGATACAGTATCGTCACGTTGGAAGACCACATAGGAAGAGGACCATCGTAGAGGTTCGAACTCAAGTCGACACTGGACCGAGCGTCTACAAACATCAGCAAGGTGGGTGGCTAGCCGGTGAGTCGATTATACGAAACGTCTAGTTCATCTAATTGCAGATTCAGTTGCAAGAACCAATCGGGAATGGTCCCCGAAATTTTAGCATTGTTCAACACCACGGTCTTGAGCTCGTTTTGTTTCCTCAGGCCAAGTAGGAAACTCGGGACCCAATTGGCAAGACCTGAATTTCAGGTACCTGAGCTTGAAGGGAGGAATCCAACGGGGGGTTATGTTGTAGGCCAAGGAAATGTTTGGAGACAGAATATACAAGTCAAGATCCGTGAGGCTCGAGAGGTTTGCTAGATGGCGCTCCGTCACGACTCCTTCCCACAAGTTCTCAGGGAGATCCATCGCAACCAGTGTCGATAGTTGCCCGAAACTTTCGGGAATCCCACTGATCTTATTGTTGGCCACGTAAAACTCTTTCAAAGAGGACATGTTTCCAATCGTTCGTGGAATAGAACTTGAAATGAATTGCGCAAAACTTAGAGGTACCTTAACTTCTTCAGGTTTCCTAGAGAATCTGGCAAATTATCAGACAACCTATTGTTCCCCAAGTCTAGATTCTCCAACTTGCTGTCGTTGCATCGAGCTAACCCGTTGATAAAATCAATTATCTCACTCGTGATTCTATTGGCAGAAAGCTTTAGGACACTCATATCACATAAGCTCCCCAATGATTTCGGAAGCCGACCTTTGAGGTACGAATCGAGTTCTTGGAGGGATGCTAAATTTGCAAATTTATCTGGAAGCTCGCCCTCGAGACTATTTGAGTTTAGATCAAGATGAACTAGGCGAGTGAGATTGAACAACCACTAGGGTGACGTAGAGTTGAAAGTTATTGCGCGAGAGATCAATGACCTCAAGCGATGTGACATTGATGAATGGAAGAGAAAGAGGAAGCTTTGACACGAAACAGTTGGGCAAGCGCAACTCTGTGAGAGAAGGTAGTGAATTAATAGCTCGAAGCCAATGATCTGCGGCTTTACTGGGATCGATGGCTCCGAGATTAAAGTATCTTAGAGAAGAAAGGCCATGAAGCCAGAGAAGATCGTTTTGGCTAGATTCGGCAAAACAATTGCTGAGGTCCCGATACTGTAGTCTGTCGCGAAAGATTCCCAAGACTCGGAGGGATCATTCCACTGAAAGACGCACCTGATAGATTGAGGTAGCCCAGCTGTTGCTTTAGTGAACCAATGAATCTCAGGAGTTTGGCGCCTCCAAAATCGTTTCGTGCTTAAATCCAAGTAGTTCAACTCTTTTATATCGAGCGTAGAAGGACTGATCTCACACCCCAGTGCTTGCCCTGGCTTGGGAGTGCCGCCACTTAGATTATTATCTACATACGTTGCGGAGATTTATCTTAATGACCCGCCCAGTCTGGTTACTGCATACAATTCCTCTCCATTTGCAGCAATCTTTCCCGATCCACGAAGCGAGCCGGCCCGAAGGATCTGTGAAGCCACCTTTCAACTTGACAAGCGCTTCTCTTTCGCTTTTGAAGCAACCTGAATTGATTCTAGCAGTGGATAGTGCAAATTTGACAGTTTCAGGAAATAGAAATCCTGATAGGACCAGGAAAGTAAGGAGATCAATGCACCAGATCCTTGAGCTATTCTTGCAGCCAAAACAAGAATAGAGAGGAGGGTACTTGAAAGTTCAGATTAGCTTTGTTTAGACATATATACTGGACCTGTGTCCTCCTATAATGCAAAATGAGGTTGCGTCAGTTATTGTCTGACTCAACTTTGCTTTGAGTTGATGTCATCAATATAACATCAAACTAGTCAATTGTCATCGACCATGTCAAAAATACTTTTCTTATTTTTCCCTTGTCTGGGACACATTCTAGACTTGGATGACAAGTTCTGTTCTATCGTCTGGACAATATTGAAGCGCCATCGGGACGCTTGCCCATGATCAGAAATTTGTTAGAATTCGATAGTTCAGTATGAGGTCCACCGAACTCAATCGATCATGCTGTGGACTAGGAGCACATGAATCGAGCTTATGTAGCTTTATTATTTTTTTCCTTCACAGCTAATGTCACGGGCAGGCAGTTGCTCAGGCGACGCGAATTGCGTACGTGGCATCTATCGCAGATGTATGCACTTTAACGTATCTCCAGGACACGCTTGCTTGTTTGCATTGTTTCTTGGTCTACATAATAGAAGTGAGAAGAAGAACAATTGAACACGAATGTAATTTCGATAGCATTGAACAAGGGAAGTGATGGAGGTCAACACAAGTTAGGCTCTTTGAAGGGGATTGACCTTGGGTGTACCAGTCTTATTCTAAACTATTCACAATGACAATTTCTTTTGCCTGCTTAGGCGAGTACTTTGTTAGCCGAGTACTTTGTTGTATAGTGAAGTGGTGAGAGCTCAATCAAAGAACTCTTCTTCAGGACAAAGAGAAGGAGAGGTTCCTCGAAATCGAAATGAAGAAAAGACTTCTTGACCAGAGGCCGACCACACGGCAGTGAAAAATGATGTGAGGACTTTTACAAGGTCCCCGACGTAAATGCTATGGTTGCACTACGCTATCTAATCTCTAGATGTTATACTTCCCAACATTTATTACCAAAGGGAAAATGACTGTCGCGACCTTCCTGAGAGTGACCTAGGGGTTTGGCTAATGGATTACTAAGCCTAGCTCGGGCTCTCTTAAGCCCATATCAATTCGCGACTTAATATTCGAGTTTTTAACATGCAAGATCATTTCAATTAGGAGTCGCCACTAATCTATTTTTGGTGGGTCGATTAGAAATACAAGTAAAGTATACTCCTACGAACCAGAGATTATGGATTTGGGGACTTGATTACACTAAATTACTCTAATGCCCTTTCGGTACCTTTTCTCTTTTATTTTTCAAATTTTTTTTTGCAGGTAGCTTGAATTGATTTTAACTTATCCATTAACATGTGCGCAATCAATGAAATTAACACTCAAATAACAAAGCAAGCAAATTACAAAAAAGTAAAGAAATCGGTCACACCAAAACAATCAAATATTTTTGGGGTTTTCTTTTATCTTGAAATAAAGTCTAATCTACATGATATGCGATTTCCTAACGTGCAAACTATATGACATGCATATGGTATTTTTGGTATTTTTATTAAAATTCGGAATTAATAAAATACCCTAATTGAGCTATCTAAAAAAAAAGTTATCTAATCTAGTTTAGGAATTAATTCGAACTAATCCTATCCCTTCTTAGAAAACTATTTTTAAACATGCAAGTATTATCTAAAATCCCATCCACTAAGGAAAATCACATCTAAAACCTATTCTAACTTATTATAGAATTTACCTTACTATTTAAATAAGCAATGTTATCTAACAACCTTATTAAGCCTAGCAAGGAATCTTTTTGTATTTTTTTTTAACAAGCAAGTTATCCAAACCAAAGATAAAGATTTACCTAATCCACACATGTGATCCACGAAGATTTCAAATTAAAGATTACGATAACCTAAAAAATAACCCACTCACGGGTTAAATTAGAGATTATTGTAATCTTTAGGCACAACAGTTATCCAATATTAAGTTGAAATAATTAAAAAAATGATCCGATATCTTTACGGATCAAATTAGTAATTAAATCAACTCATATCGATAACACCCTAATTAGATAATGCCTAGGATCTCAATAAAATCAATCCGTGATTAGAAATCAGATATTCAAATCAAATGGGATAAAGATTATTACCTATTTCGCGGATAATGTTTCCAACTTCGAAACGCCTTGGAATTGTGGATCACGGCTTGCGGATAAGGTTCGGTGTTGTTGGACACGACCAAGAATCTGATATCAGTGAAACAAGCGCACGAATTGAGAAGTAGATGAGGAAAAAGAGAGAATGTTTTCCTCAACGTATCGTGGAAAGAGAACTCCCTCTCAAAAGAAAACCACGGTTGATTTTCTTTTCTCCACTTCGTACGTCTCCCCAGGAGAAGACCTCCAAGTGAATTTTTTAATCCAACTTCCACTAGAGTTCTTTTGACCACCGCTTGGAATTTTCCTTAAACTTGCGAAGGCACAAGAACAATTTATCACGGAGAGCACAAAGGGGCGCTTGGTGTGACGCAAGGGCAGCAACGTCGTCGATCACGGGAAGGAGCAGCCGCAGGTTTCTCGGTGCGGGATCACGGTAGCTTCGTCATCACAATGCGTGCTGACGCAGCGAGCGATGTGGTTGAGCAGGACCGTTGTGACTGGGAAGTCACTGAACTTGCTGGACAGCGAGACAGGGACTTACGGCAGCGCTGTGACTCACTAGCAGCTTGCTGGTCTGGGCATCGGTGCTGTGGCAGAGACACAACAAGGAGCTAGCCGCTGTGCAGGGACGTCGTAGAAGAGCAGCAGCAGGATGGCGGCGTCAGGTCTGGGCACAGCTCCTCGTATGTGAAACTCTCCAATTTTTCTTTTCCCCGTGGTTGGTCGGCCAAGGAGGTATTTATAGCTTTCATAAGTCTAGTTCAAATCAGGATCAATGATAGACTGATTAGAGTTCGAATGGATTTGGAAATTATCCTCAAGACTTTGACCGGTTTTGGTAATTATCTCTTACGCGCAGGATCGGATGAATGACCAAGATTCAAAGCCAATAGATAACGTGGTTATTCAAGAATGAAAGATATCAACATTTTCATAACAACCTGAAGAGATAAACTCCACCATGCGAGAGAGAGTGTACCCAATTGACAGCTCTCTCTGCACGGCGTGAAAAGTGGCGTCCAAGAGGAGGGGCAAGCATTATCTATGCTTCTCGTGGATGAGACCAGAAAGCACATCTTTTTGTTTAGATTTATCCCACTTTTATCTCCATTTTTGAATGTTCCCCTCCACTTCTTCACCAAATACTTCCACGGCCGAACCTACACTCACCAAATCACATGTTCTCTTGAATCCCAAGTCCTTATCCGAATTGAAATAGACACGAAGTAGCCGGGCATGTGGAATTCTTGTCCTATGTGGATACGATCCGTGGAGATATGAATATCATATCTGAAGCTCGCCTCTCCCTTTCCAATCACCAATCCTTTATTGCGTCATCTATTGAGCTCGCCTTAGGCTTCCTAAAAGATGCTTGATGCAAATAGATAATCCATTATGCCAAATTTTTGTCTGGGGTCGTACCAACCTCTAATTTTCTTATGCGATAAAGAATTAAATATAATAGCCAAAATTTAGGTGTCAACAATGACACATACAAACTTTGGCCAATGTGCAATGTGGTCTCTGAACATTTAATTTGTTCAATGTCGTCCCTTAACTTTTGATACATGCTCAATTCTATATAAATGTAGCAAAAGTTCAGGGATCACATTGAACAAATTAAAAGTTCATGGACCATATTGAATAGTAGATTAAAGTTCATAGACTATATTGAATAAATTAATAGTTCATGAACCACATTGTACATTAGATCAAA